TATTTATATAGTTTTTCTTCATTACTCATTCAAGCCGTCTCCAACCATTATTAGTCTCAAAGTGGGTTCTTCGTCATCGAATTTGAAGGGTCACAGTTGCTCGATTCATCGTAATTCTCGAGCAAGGCCCTTTACCTGATTACGTTAATGACCAGCTTATCAGACAAGGCAGTGTTTTCATGTAAAATGTGGCTTTTTACCAAATTTATTGGTTAAAAACTATAATAATAAACAATGCAAAAATAATTTATTTAGATGTATCACATTTATATCAAAGCAAGTAATGGCAAAGAAAGGATATATACAGTAATAGACAAGACGTTTACAGAGACTTGTTTACATACCACTCTTGTCGTAAAAGAATGTTCTGCAAACTGTGGTGACTTAAATGAAACAAATAACTCAAAAGGTGTTTTGTAACTGTTAAAAATATATATACATATGTTGAGTTTGTCATATTAAAGCGACTTTCGAGCTTCACTTCCCCGTTATAATCCATGTCGTCGCGTCTGGTCATACTCTATCTGACGGCCGTGTTTCTCGACAATAGCCCTGTAGCGTAGTTTCCACTGCAATAGGCTCCGTTGTAAGGCTTTCATATCAAAAGCACCCCACTGCTCTCTGCAAACTTTCCATAAATAATTTAGTGTACGAGAAAGACGGTTTCTTATTGTCTGTTTCAACAGTCCGAATGCACAGAAATCTTTAGGCGCTGCGTCTCGCAATGTGATCTGTATATAATATCATGGATACCCGTTTTTTTTTCCTCCAGCTATTTGAGGTATGCGATGTTTGAACAGATAACGTAGTGGTAGCAGCCTGTATATACGTGACTTGTGTAGTTTTTTTAGACAGAGATTTTTTTTGGAATATATTGGCAATGTTGCTACTGTCTTTATGGAGTCTCAACAAGTACGAAACCTACACTATTCTTACCACGGCTGGGATACGACTTGTTGCTGGTCTTTTTCTAGATAGACCTGGTATCCCAAGCTGATCTATATTCAATTGCTTTTCAGTGTCATAAGTGCAAGAGATATCTCCTTCTTGGAAATTCTAAATCCACGATCTGAACACATCCTTATGATCTGAGTGGATGTATTTTTTATGTCGGAAAAGGCTGGTACGTACCCTTCTAAATGCCAAAACGTAGTTCTGATACATTCCGTCCACTGTGATTTTATATAGGCTGTAGTTGTCACGTAACTTGCTGATTTGCATATTCAAAAATGGTTTTAATATAACGTCCCCAACCTTCTTTATTATTCTACGCTGTTTCCAAAACAACTAGGTGTTCAATATATTTACGCTTAGTTTTTAACCAATGAAGTGATACGTAAAATATAACATACTGTATCTATGTCTCAAAAACATACCGACGGTTATACCTTGATCAAGCTTTTACATTTTGAAAAGAAGCCGTTAAAATTTACTCTTAAGTTTGGCATTACTGAAGGAAGCATGTCACTGTTAAAATAACCCATTGGTAAACTACAACCTGTAGTGTGTTACTGTAGAGAATTATCATTATTAGCATCGTGCTAGGTTCTGCAGAAGTAAACAATTACTGCGACGAGTAAATATGGATTTACATTAATTGTGTACTCAGTAAAACCCACGAGTATGGTTTTCAGTAAAGAATTAATTAACATTATATTAAAAACTGCCATTCTGTTGAAAATGTATTGACTAAACTAACTAAATTAATTTTACTTTCAAAATCAAGTAGTCAGTACAATCTTTTCTAGTATTGTATTAAAAACTATTCATTGTGTCAACCGCAACTGATTGGCCATTGAAAATCCAGTCATTTGCACAGTCAAACCTATTATATTACACCGAAAATCGACTGACTCGTATGACTCTGTCGGAAGTTGATCTCGTAATCTTAAAATCTAAGTATGGAATGTTCACTACGAGCTCAAACACTAATTTCATTATACCTGTTTTAACGTTTTGTAAAATGGATCAAACAAACTCAGAGTTAAACTTTTATACAGTCAACTTATTCAAAAGGTATAAAATTAAGTTTATTTTTTAAACCAAAAGTTATACTGAAATCCTAATTATTAAAACAACTACAGTGATTATTCCCTAACCACCAATAAGTTCATACAGCTACACCTGGTTTAATAACACATTTTTAACTGAGCGTATCAACCAAATATAACTCAGAACTGTAGTTACTGGTAAAACTATATTAACGATTTATTAATTGTCACATCCTTAATTGAATACTTGTTCAAAGTTTAGCTTCTTGTAAAATGTTTACTATTTTGTCTCAACAAAAAATTTATCTTTAGACGATTTTCTCCAGACAGTACTCTAGTGAAAAAGGAAATCTCTAGTGTTAGCCTACCGATTTGAAAAAGGTATGGCACCAACTAGAAAAACATTACCTGCATTTATGTGCTGAGCTTCTCTCGGCAGCAGTACATGTTTATGTATTCAACATGGCAACATGCTGTCGGTTGGCGTCCATTCAAGGTAGAACGTGCTCCACGTTCAGCTGTCAACCACTTCCCCAAAGACCATCGTAGATGTTAATGAAGCCATAATGAGCGCATTCATCGTTCTCTTATGACTATTTATTTGTTTTTATCTTGGTCTCATTGGTATATAAACTAAATATTATTGTTCTACTTAGTAGGTAGAATGTCTCTAAATTACAAACTAAAGGGTTAAGTGTTAACATGATTAAATCAGCTTTACTCTGAACTATAAAAACAAATCATTAGGTAGAATGTCTCTAAATTACAAACTAAGGGGTTAAGTGTTAACATGATTAAATCAGCTTTACCCTGAACTATAAAAACAAATCATTAGGTAGAATGTCACTAAATTACAAACTAAGGGCGTAAACACTAACAGTAAGTTTACGGATTTACAACGCTAAAATCCGGACTTGGATTCCCTGCGGTTGATAGGGCCCATTGTGTAGTTTTGCGCTAAAACACAAACAACAACACCCTAAGCTATAAAAAAGCAAATCATTAGGTACATGTCACTAAGTTACAAACTAAAGACGTCATTTCTATAAACGCAAATAAAATTACGACCTATATCTCCAGAATGTAACTTTATTAGCTCAATATTTCGCTATTACAGCTTCGTCAGGAGCTATCGATATCTCACAAGATCACTAATCCAGTTAAACCTAAACTGGAACACTGTCATCCGTAAATCGAACATTGATACACGTGTTTTGAACGTTCAGATCATATTAAATACGTGAACAAGCGAAACTATGATAAATCATTATCGATGATTCGATAAGGTAAATGACCAGCCTATACTTGACCATTAATAACCAAATATAAAAAAAATCGATATTTAATTCATGCTTACCTCGAACAGCATTTCTGACGTCATAGTGAAGCAACAAACAGCCAAGTCTCCAATAGCTAAGTTCAATATGAAAATGTTTACCCTTGATGATCGTTTCCGGTAGCGTGACCTTGAAAGTACCAACACAATAATCATGTTTCCAACAAGTGTTGTTGTCATGATTACTCCTAAGGTAACAACACGTTGAATAAGTTCTGCATTCCATACAGCACCCTCTGGGTACACTGGAGTGTCATTTTTCTTAATGGTTGTATTATTCATAGTTATCGTTATTGGCCCAGTTTCCAAAACTCCCTCTTATATAAATTAGTCGTTAAAACGAGCTTGGAAATAACTATATTTCATGGCAATAAGTAGGAGCATAGAAAATATAGAAACAGATTCTCAGTATATGAAGTAATGTTTATAATAAGTTACTGTTGTTTCAAAAAAAAAGATAAATAAATAAATAAAAAGCGTGGTTGGCGGTTTCAAACAGAGTCTTTATTTTCTTTGTTTCATCTTTAGTTCTAAGGACGTTTTCACGTGATATTCAGGATTCTGATATCTTTTTTGCATGACCTGTTGAAGAAATAGAACAATAACTGTTAGAAACTGTTTGGCGAGAGACAGTATCTTACTCTTTTAGAGTTTTATTCGAAAGTTAGACAAAAAACTGTACATCTGAATACTATACTAAATAAAACTAAGGAATTTGTGTACACTTCTTTATATATTAATCCCTGCATCAAAACTAAAATTAAAACCCTCTAATTGCATAAAGACATCTTGTTATACACGCAACTCAAGATAGACACGTTACGTATTTTTAAGTGTGAATTTGGATCCATAAACTTTTCTTTATTCACTATAAAGTGACTTAGTAGAAACTGTAGGCACTTTAGAGTGAATTAAAAGTAGAAACTAATAGGCACTATAAAGTGACTTAGTAAAAACTGTAGGCGCTATAGAGTGACTTGGGGATCCTGATAGTCACCATAAAGAAGTGACTTAAGGTAGTAGCTGGTAGACACTATAAAGTGACTTAGTTGGAACTGATAGTCACTATAAAGAAGTGACTTAAAGTAGTAGCTGGTAGACACTATAAAGTGACTTAGTTGGAACTGGTGGTCACTATAAAGTGACTTAGTTGGAACTGGCACGCGGTGAAGTAAAATTTACTTTATTTCTTCTAAACTTTATCCTTAAATATCACAAGCGGTACTTGGACATTTAACATTGCTGTAAAACAAATTAGTCTACTGAAATTTGATATTTGATTTTAATATGATACGTAAAAATCAACTCGGGTTTTGACAAAAAGCGATGTCTTTGGCATCAAATTGACATAAAAAAAACATCTCAATTTTACCAAATTAGCCTATAAAAAATAATTGTATACAATTTATCAGGAGGGGATCAAACATGGAAGGTGAGTCTGAAATATTGACTTGATTTCAACTGGTAGGCAGTACAAAGTAGTTTAATAGTAGTACATGGTAGGCATTACAAAGTAGTTTAATAGTAGTACCTGGCATGTACTACAAAGTAGCTTAATAGTAGTACCTGGTAGGCACTACAAAGTAGTTTAATAGTAGTACCTGGCAGGCACTACAAAGCAGTTTAATAGTAGTACATGGTAAGCACTACAAAGTAGTTTAATAGTAGTACCTGGTAGGCACTACAAAGTAGTTTAATAGTAGTACATGGTAGGCACTACAAAGTAGTTTAATAGTAGTACCTGGTAGGCACTACAAAGTAGTTTAATAGTAGTACATGGTAGGCACTACAAAGTAGTTTAGTAGTAGTAGTACTGGTAGGCACTACAAAGTAGTTTAATAGTAGTACTGGTAGGCACTACAAAGTAGTTTAATAGTAGTACTGGTAGGCACTACAAAGTAGTTTAATAGTAGTAGTACTGGTAGGCACTACAAAGTAGTTTAATAGTAGTAGTACTGGTAGGCACTACAAAGTAGTTTAATAGTAGTACTGGTAGGCACTATAAAGTAGTTTAATAGTAGTACCTGGTACGCACTATGTAGTTTATTTATAGTAAATACCAGTCTTTTCACAACCGGCTAAAGTTTTAGTGCATTTTACTTGTTAGTCGCAAGGCGAATCCCCTGGAAGAACACAGTAATAACTGATAAAAACAAAGCGTAAACTAAGGTGGCTTGAAGTTTAGTTTTTCAGTTAGAAGTTATGAAACGTTTTCAACAGTTCAAGTTAATAAATTGAAAATGCAAAAATATAAAGTGCATTAAACACGTTAGTTAATCAAGAAGCCCTTTGATACCAAAACAGAAAAAAGGGTGCAGCGTAGAATGTCTCCTGTTTGTGTTTGTATAGTAAATAAGAAAAATAAAAAGAGAAAATACAAATCAGAGTTTAAAATCTTGTCTACCAGGTTAAGCGAAGTAAGTAAACAAAGTAGAAAAGACACAAAAAACAAGCCGAGACAGAGTCAAAGTCCGTAACTGCAATATCAGGTATAGAGTGTATGTACCATTATAAGGAAATACACAAAACTACAATATCCGGTATATCCGGATATTGTAGTTTTGTTTACTTCCTTATAATGGTACAATAGATACATTTTATAGAGTGTATGTACCATTATAAGGAAGTAAACAAAACTACAATATCCGGTATATAATGTATCTATTGTACCATTATAAGGAAGTAAACAAAACTACAATATACGGTATATAACGTATCTATTGTACCATTATAAGGAAGTAAACAAAACTACAATATCCGGTATATAATGT